GCGACTCTCTAGTTCGCTCGAGAGTCGCCGGCCGCTACACTTTCGTCTACAACTGCAGTTCATATATGAATTATTTCATGTAAACTTCACATCATTATTGTATTTTGTTGGCATTGGAAACTGCCATCTTCGCTTGAGAGAAAGCTATCTTGACCCAGGCAGATTTTCTTCCAAAAATGTGCAAACAGGTGAAAAAAGTCCAGGTTAGTGGTTAAAGTATAATTTTTAGTCAATTTACCGAGATTGAGGCAAATCAGAGCCTGAAAAAAGAAAACAAAGGCCTAAAATTCAACATAAGGCACATATGCATAGGGCTATTGAAATGTAAGATAAAAAATGAAACATAATTTATTTAACTAATGCCTAAACCATTTTTCACTTGTCACCGCAGGGCTCGAAATTAAAAAAAACTTCTGGTCGCCTGGGTATGAAAATTTGGTCGCAACTTTGAAATTTTTTGTCGCAAAATTAATTGAGGCCATTTAATTAATAAATAAGTAGAATTTGAAATGATTAATGCTTTAATTTTTATTGTTTTAACAGCTTTCATGTCATTTTGAGATTTAATAGTACAGAATGTTTAGCGTCTTGGACAACACCGGGGTCCATCTAAATGATCAAGTTGAACCTGTGTTCCGTTGCATAAATTAGGGCACCTAAGTGTCTGTTATTTTAGTCAAATCGATAAAATTCCAAATCATGAACAGATATTAAAGCTTGAAATTGCAGTTCTTAAATGCCTTCAATCTCTGCAAAATAACAATAACACATGTACTGGGCAGAAATATTAGCTTGCGTAGCAGAATTCCTTTAGTTTTACCTTTTGCAGGTTTTCCACAGATGAGAAAACAAGTAAAAGATTCTTTTTATATTAAGCTTTACACCTGAATTATCAGGGGTGCTACTACAGTGATTATTCAAAGAACCCAGAAGGACTGGATCATTCAATACGATGATACGTAAAACCGCCATCTTTGTTTGCTATAAAACCTCGTTTTCATGTATATGTGGGAGCTTGAGCCTGCAAAATATATGTGTAAAGAAACTGCTGAAAATGGTGAGCGGTTGAAGGAATATTGTTGCATGCATGCATCTCAGGTAAATTACAGTACAGTTTGCCCCATTTCTTCAGATTGTAACAAAATTTTAAGATGCAACTTCAGTTAATCTTTTCCTTTTAAATTTATTTAATAAGCAAACATCGTGCCAAAGTTTCAACTGCTAGCCCTTTTATTTTGTATCAGTCAAGGCAAAACGACTACTCTCATTTTCTTAGCTGCAAAATTAATAAGAAAAATTAAGACGCAAATGCGACTTTATTGGTCACAATTTTGAGCCCTGCACCGATAGAGTATTGGCTGTCAGCAGTATGGTCTTTTTCTTATGTTTGATGAAGAAGTCTTGCCATCAAAGTCCAGAAAGAAGCATACAGAATGTATAAGGCTAAAAAGTAGCACTCTTACCAAGATCAAACAGCAGTTTCGCTGGTAGCCAGCTGCACTTGACAACAAAGCCTGGCCGGTGTACATGTACATGCAATCAGCAGTCTGTCTGGATTCATCCTCTATGGCTTAGTTAATATTATTTATTGTTGCTTATGCTTGATCATGAAGTGCGTATTCATTTTGAAGTCTTTAATGTTTAAACAGAATTATTATGGAGCTGCCAAAGCAATCTTTAGTGACAATCCTCTTGGTTTGACATGTGGTATGGTATGCCCTACAAGTGACCTTTGTGTTGGTGGTTGTAATTTGTATGCCTCAGAGGAGGGACCTATCAACATTGGAGGCCTGCAACAGTTTGCCACAGAGGTAATATTTACTTTTTGTCCTAAGCTGATATATCTGTTTAAATTATCCTTTTTTAATTGTCAAGTCACAGGAAAAGGCTCTTAAAATTTATGGCTTTGTTGAGTACTTGCTTGTCCTGTAGTTAATTATCTGTGATCATTAAATTTCTTGGGCCTTTTCTGGATATGACAAAATGTTTAAGGATTGTTACTTCAATATAATACATGTAACTGTTTTCACGAGCTTTATTTTTTATCTTTCACTCTTACTGAACAATAGCAGGGTTGTTAAAAGTGGCCCATGAGCGGCAAGTTTGATGCAAAATAAAAGCTTTCTTTAAGCAAGAAAGTCATTTTAATTTAAAAATTTACAATCACATTTCATGAATCCTTTACTTGAGAATGATTGGGCAACCTATTATGGGAAAGCATCCATACTCCCCAGAAAGAGATGGCATGCTGGATTATAATAGAGAGTTTAAGCAATCATGATGACGACCCCGATGATGGCGCCTATTAAGAAAATGAATTTATAGTTACCTTGAAATTTTGCAATTGCCTAAATCTGCTCAGTGCGTCTATTGGTGTCAGAACTTGCTCAAGCTAAATATTTAATGTTAGCGTTCAATTCAAAATAAATATATGCTGTCGTCTGCGTTCTCCAAAATCTGCAGAAAATAAAGATTATTCCACGGAAAGTGCACATGAACTCATTCACAAGTTGCGATGCATCAAGAAACTGAGAACGAGTGAGTTTTTGATGGATCGCAACTTGTGAATAAAAATCATCCAAGCACTTTCCATGGTGTGATATTTTTATTTCACACATATGGAGATTTTTTCATGACCGATGCATTTCAAAAATTGAAAGCCATTAAAGTGCAAGAGCAAAAAACTCTGCCAAATCCACAGCATGGTGCAATATTCAGTCTCTGATGACAACTACATATTTTTTATTTTGTTGTTTGTTTACACACTAATTTGCCAGCAGAGAGACTTTACTTTTAAAAGAGAAACAAAGTTAATTAATATTTTGAAAATTCAATTTATAAATGACATCGCAAATTTGCAGATGCTTACAATTATGAAGTATGAAAAAAATCTCATTAAAAAAAAAGTCAAAATACGGTACCATAGTTCTTATAAAATAGTTTGTTTAAAATAGTTTTCCTTTAATCTTCATCAGAACTGCTGGACAAGACGCAGAGTCTTTTCCATGGCCGGTTTTCTGGTGGGGTTATTTTTGGTGACTGATTCACATTGTTAATTGTAACTGAGAACTGTCCAACCTTGGATCACTGTTCCACTAAATGAGGCTACCAACTGCTGATCTGTGATGCTGTTACTTTGCTGAGGCTGAGCCTCAGGGCTCTTTATTCCAAAGCTAGAGGATTGCTTGCTGGTTCGTATAATCTTGAAAAGGTCTTGAATTTTAGTAGCCATCTTGAAAAGTCCTTGAATTTGGTTAAGTCCTTGAAAAGTACTTGATTTCTTTATTAGGTCTTGAAAAGTCCTTGAAATTTAGTAATTTGTTTATGCCATCACTTTTCTGAAAAGTTAAATGATTTTGCTAAGAAAATTTCTCCATTGACTGCTAATATCTAATATTTTCATGTCATAGCGATGGCAATACATGCAGGAAAATTAATGGTCGATGTAACACATGAGCGTGTACATGAAGCGAAATTTCATCTTTGCCTCAATTTCATGCGGTTGAACCAGGCCTCTAAATGTGGGGTTGTCCGCCACATGCGTTTGTTTTCAGGGGCTACGTGATCAATGGTGTGTAGTTTAGGGAAATTTTTTTGCTTTCCCTTCGTTTGCAATTTAAATGAGTGATGGGCAAATGTGTATTCAATCGTAAATGGTTAAGTGATGCAAAGTTTAGCTGGGTANGCCGAAATGTCAGATTTATCTATCGTTAGTTTTTGCCTGTATATGTCAAAGTAGTGCAAGAAAAAAGAATTCCAAATCCTGGAAACAAGTCATTTCGAGTGATTAAAGAGGCAGTGGGTGACAAACTCATCCTTGCCAAACCACATTTCTTTAAGTGCATTGCTAGTCACTTACAGCCGTTTCTAGCCAATTATCAAACTGACAAGCCCATGGTTTGTTTCTTGGCAACTGACCTGAGTACTGTTCTAAGAGGCCTTATGAGAAGATTCATCAAAGGTGATGTGCTGTCTGAAACAACCACAGTGGAGAAGCTAATGGTAGTCAATGTGCAGGAGAAGAGTAACCACAAGAGCTACAAGAAGATTGAAATTGGCTTCTGCGCAGAAAATGCACTAAAAGATGCTCGTGCAAAAGCCCAAAAAGCAGGATGCTCCATAAGTGACAAAGAGCTCATGGCGTTCAGGCTTGAATGTAAGAGCTTCCTCTTTGCAGTTCTTATGAAATTGATTCTGAAGTGCCCACTTTCTTACTCCCTTGTTCGCAACATGGTGGCTCTAGATCCCAGAGAAATGGTTGCTAACCCAAACATCTGCAGAGCGAAATTCAAAAGGATCCTAACTGTGCTTGTCAATTCAAACAAATTGAGGGGTGAGAACTGCGATAGTGTTTTGCAAGAATATTCAAACTTTTTGGACAGTGTTCCAATCATTGACTCTGATATGTTTTCATCTTTCAACCCAAATGTTCAGTTGATGATTTTTTTTCTACCCACATGACCGGTGATAACTATGCAGCATTGTTTGATATAGTGAAAATTTTTCTGGTGCTTTCACACGGTCAGGCATCTGTGGAGTGGGGGTTTTCTGTCAACAAAGAAATTGAGGTAGAGAACTTGCATGAGCACTCTCTGGTAGCTCAGCGTATCATTTGAGATCATCTAAAGGCAGTTGGTGGAGTTCTCAATGTGCCAATTACAAAGAAACTCCTTGCTGCAGCAGCTTCATCATGACAGAAATATGAGAAGCATCTACAGGACCAAAGGGACAAAAAGAAGACAGATGAAGAACAGAGAAAGAGAAAACACGTCCTGGATGAGATTGAGGAACTCAAGGAGAAGAAGAAAAGGATGAAACTGGATATAGACTCACTGGAAAAGTCAGCAGATGATTTCAGTGTCAAAGCTGAAGAAACTGGGCAGATGACTCTTGTCACTAAGTCCAATGCTCTTAGAAAGGCAGCCAAAGATAAGACTCTTCAACTGCAAGACGTTGAGGACAAACTAAATGGAAAGTTGGAAGCTCTAAAACACTGCTGAAACATTTTGGTATCATTTTCGTTGAACTAAAATTATAGTATTTCTGTATTTCAAATTATTTCTGTACCTCACTTTCCAAAATGTCGTTTCAGAGACTAATGTCATCAACCATGGCTGAACTATTTACATACCATAAATAGGTTATGACTGAATTGAGTGTTTTAAGTGTTAAAAGGGGTACCAAGAATGTCGATTTAGTGAACAAAACTGAGTCCTTGAAAACTAGTTTTTATCCTTGAAAAGTCCTTGAAAAGTCCTTGAATTTTGTTTGTTTGAAGTTGTACGAACCATGGCTTTTTCACTGGATATGTTTGCCAGCATGTTTGGCATGGATTGCTGTTGTTTTGTAGAAAGCGAACTGTAGTTCTTGATGTTTTTAAGATTCTTGTGTCCGGAGAGTTGTGCTATGTGGGTTGGTGGAACTCCTTGGTCACTGAGAGTTTGGACCATTGCTTTCTGAGCCCTGTGATTTCTCAGTTTAGGATTTTCTAGACCAGACTTGTAGGCCATTTTCTTCATCAGCCTGCCAAGTTTGTTTACATCGACCTTGCTGCCTTTGATCCACGATTTGCTCAAAGTGCTTCTGGCCTTCACATGGTTCACTGCCAAATAAAACGGGCTTTCTGCTTCTTTCATGCTGTCAGATCTTTTCTGTGCAAATAGCTTGTACACTGCATTGTTTTGCTTGCCCTGCCAGCTTTTCTTCCTTCTGTGATTTTTTCTTTTTTCACCCAAAATAAGGGGGCAGTGCACTCCCTGGGTCCCTACCCTAGATCCACCACTGATTTATAAGTAAGTTATTAGTAAGTTGTATTATGTGAGCCATCGTTTGCTCTGATTGGTTGCCTTGAAGACAGTTTGGTGATGTGGGCGTTTGCAATCTTTAATGGATCTCGGAACTGTCTCTTTAGCAGTCCATTGGCACTGGAGGTTCTCTTGATGGTAGAAGGCTCCTTGCTTGCTGGGAAATCATAATTTGAGACAATTCTGTATGCTGTCTTTGAATGTCCACGATATCTTCAAAGGTATTGTCCTGGACTGCCAAGGGGTTAACAGACAAACTTGTTGAGCAACTGGAAGAGCTGTAAACATGTGGTGGTGTCTGTGGGTTCCCCGGTGAAACCAACTCTTCATTGTTCATTTGATCATAAATCCTTTCTTCTTCCTTTGCCATAGCTAGACTTGTCTTATGCTCCAATTGTTCCTCATCCATTTTCGATGTGCTTTTCTTTCAGAAAAGCTGCTTCAACTTCTAGGGCCACAGCCCTAGTCTTGGCTTTTATCAATTTCGATTTAGATGAAAGTGAACGAGTGAACAAATTTGAATGTCCAGAGTGATTAGACTTTCTTGAGCGATGAGACTGGTCAGAAGCAGCAGAATTTAATTCAGCAAACTGAAGTTCTTTCACCTTAAACAAATATTCACAGACAGACTTCTTAAACTTAAACGCATCTCCATCAGAGCTTCATACCACGAATTAGCACTGGCAATGTCTGAATCATTCTCTAACACCTGGAGAAAATTACCCTGAGCAACTTGTATCTCAACAAGTAAATTGTTAAGACCTTCCATTTCAACTGACACAAACTCAAAATTGTTGAAATCAGTGAGAAGAGGCTTCATTTTGTTTATCTACTTAGTCATGTGGCAAAGAGCCACATTTCTACAATCTTTTAACCTTTGTATTTCGCACTGTTTATCTGTATCCTTTGGAAGTTTTCTCCTTGTGCCCAATTCTAACTCCTCAGCACCATCAACAGTAGACTCTGTCTCCATATCCAGTGAACCTCAAACCTTAGCTGAATCATGAAGCTGTGTTTCAGATGCTGCATCCATTGGTGGAGTGTTAAGCAGCGAGATAGGATGAATTAATTCCATATCCATTTAAGACGAATGCAGATGTGAGGGCTCAAAAATGCCTTTTATCCAATAAGGCACAAAACCTTTGTTTTCGCTCTCCACGTCCATAATTACTCTTAAAAACCTTAAATCCGTTACAGTTCCATAGACGAGCAAAGTGAACCATAGTTATCCTTGAACATTTGACCATAAATCCCTTGACAAACCATCGATGAGGTTTAGTAAAAACTGTTGCTGTGAACGGTGATAAACCATGGACAAATTCACTTTAACCAGAACATTTAAATCATGATAGGCCATGAGAACAACTCAGAGTGATGCCACGACATTACAGTGGTAGAATTCTCAAAAAAACACTGACAATTTGAACTAAAACTGACTTAAAAACCGAGGAAAACTTGACATAACTGAGGTTTTAACTCAGTGGCCTTGTGGTCACTGCTTGAAGAGGCCACCTCCATGCATTAGTGAACCTAAATATGTCTTGACAGGGAACCCAGCAGTAACACTTCCAGAATTGTTTATCCCTGTAGGTTTAAGAGTCCCAAAGAATACTTTAAAGGCAGCAAAAGTGGAGCAAAGTACACCCAGTACTTTTATTTCAAATAACCATGAGGGGGCTGGGATGGAATAAACAACAGCTGAATGGTTTTGTGAGTGTTCCGCATTGACAACATTCTGCTTTTCTATAAAAGTAAAGAACCTGGAAACTTTTATGTTCAAAGGAGGCTTCGATAACACTTGTTTATGAAGTTTAGGTTGTATTGGCATATAATATGTATTGCTGCCACTTGGCTAATTACGGGAATCATTGATTGAAATGCGTGGTGTATTCAGCTGGAGAAAGGTGTGTTTTGATTGAAAGTTCTTCACAAGTTGTTTGTGGCTGTTTGCTTTAGCAGCTTAAATGATACCCAGAACTGGAGATGTTTTTGCTTTTTTTGTGGAACGAACTGAACTCGCTGTTTTTATAATATGGTGAGTACATTTTGATTCTCTGCATATGAAACTGAACTCAAGAGAACAAACCTGCTTGAAAACCGCGAATTTTAGGCATGTGATTCAAGTAACATGTGTTATAGATAACACTGTATGTGTTATCCTCTTATATGGCAATTGATGACTGCATAGCCTGTTCTCTGGCACCAATTTACAAACAAATACATGAATCCCAATTATCTTGTGTAAGTTACATGACAGTTTTTTCGTACATGTACATGGATCAGTCGCTAAAAGAACACTGGCGAACTGCTGTTTAGTGCCTTGCAAAATTTTGTGTATAGGCTGGAGGAGTATCATTATTGCTTGCGATTTTTCATTAAGTTATCGAAATTCGAAGAAATATCGTCCTTTGTTCTAGCGAATTATCGCTCAACAGGCCGCGAAATTTAAATTGCACTTTCGAGCGAACAAAATTCTCACATTTTGCTTGCATTACTTTTGCACAATACTTTAGCTGGAAGAATGTGTTGCAGGTATACTCTAAAATACTCAAGATGCTCTATCACACTATGTTACAAGCAACGTTTCGTCAAGGGGTTTCAAAGCTTTCATAGGATAGGAAACCCGTTTGGATTGTGTTAAAAACAAAAAACCCTTTGGTAACTCTTTGGAAACCCATTGCAAACACTTTTAAAAACCCTTTGGAAACCCTTTAGAAACCCAGTTTTAAGGAGTTTCAAACCCTTTGGAAATGCTTTGGAAACTCATTACAAATCCTTTAGACACCCGGTTTCAGGAGTTTGAAACCTTTGGAAACCTTTTGCAAACTCTTTAGAAACCCTTTGGAAACCCCTTAGAAACTCTTTAGAAACCCTTTAGGAACCTGGTTTCAGGAGTTTGAAACCCTTCAGGAAACCCATTTGAAACCCGGTTTTACCCAAACTGTCATGTTTCATAAGATGTGTTTTTGTATGGAGGGTCACATTAATTTTGTCCTTCCTGACTTTCCAACATGTGCAGTGCGAACTAAATAAGCCTTGCTGATGTGAAGATTTGTTGTTTGTTGCACTCTACCGTAACTACTCCGGTTACATTTGTTTGCCCAATTCTTTCTGAAGGCCGAAATTAGCTTTAAAAGGATGGTTGACAGGATCTGGATAAGTTGGATCATGTAGTTGTTTCATTTACGTTTTGATGGATATAAATACTTTGTAAAACTTGTAAACAATAGCTCAAAATCACATAATTCAAAATACCGATCACAACTTTTCGTCTTGTTCTACATGGCTTTTTTTAGAATGTTCACTCAAAGAAGTTCTTGCAGAGCTGACAGCTTACCACAAAGAAGTTCTTGTGGTTTCAATTTCTAACCGCAAAGAAGTTCTTGTGCCTGCTGACTTTTAGTGCAAAGACCTGCAAGTAGCTGCAGGAAGTTGCCAGGTTGTGAACACAATTTAAAGAAGTTCTTGCCCATGCATTTTAGGGCTGTTCTGTACAGATGAATGTTAGCACTTGTTTTTATTCACAGCTATGACTGAAATCGCCATTAAATTTTCGTGGAGATATTGACCTTTTTCTGTAGCGATTTATTTGGCTGTACAGCATGCATGACACCAATTACTAATGCTCAAGCAGATCAGATGCAAGGGTTAGACACTTTCACGGCTATGCATTTGATTTTTTCTCTGCCGTTTAACAGCTCCAGATTGTTTTCATGAGCTGTTAGGCAGAACAAAAGAACGTGGTAATGAGTCGTTAAGGAAAACTTGTTATCTATTAGAACGTTAGCACAAAGTGTTAGAACGCTTTGAAGGCTGTTAACTATCCGTTAATTATCCGTTAGTTTTTAGCGGTTTAATGGATAAGCGTTAAAGTATGTCTTCCCCTGAACGGCCACATGTGTAAATCTCAGTATGTATGAAATAATTTATTTAGTCGTTTCACATTGTTGTGTAGCGGATGGCAAAGAAATGTATAAAGACTTATAATGCATGTGCACCTGTAGCTATTGCTTTTCTTTTTAAACCTTTTGTTTGGTGATGTTCTCGTTGCCGTCATCGTGGTTTGCTTAAGCTCCCTATTCTTCTTGGGGAGAGAGAGGGGTATTTACCATGGAAATCTTAGGGTGAAAAGTGTGGTTTTGGACTGAAACATTTCTTCTTGAGGCTGTTATTTCATCCCTAGCCTGATGATCACCGACTTTATATTGTATATACATGTACTGTGTATTTTAAGGAACTATTTGCATTAGTTCTTTTGTGTTTTCTGGCTGTTGTATGACTTCATTTCTTGATGACAGGTATTTAAGAGCATGAGGATTGAACAAATACGAGACCCCTCATTGGTGCCAGTTGATCAGCTTCCTGAGAGTTACCAGGCAAAGGTAAAAGCAGTACTGTGTTGTCTCGGTACCACTTTTGTATAGGTAATGAAACCACTTGAATGAAACAAATTGTTTAATTGTGTGCTTCTCCATGAAATCTCCATACCCACGCTAAGGAGAAATATTGGAAATTCCAATAGGGGGGCTCTCTCCTGCCAGGAAGGAATTCCTAGTAGGATATTTTTGCTAAGATTGAGGTGGGATCCTGCCAAGGTCCTAGTCCTGATTTTACAAGGGATACTGTGATAACTTGAATTAACTAGTTTCTGTGTACTGCGTAGCCCCTATTGTACATGGAATTTAGTTTGAGTGGCAGTAGGAAAGCGCAGTAGGAAACAGTATATTTCTGAGCTGAAGTGATACATGTATCTCACTGCATGTTTATAATAAAATATTGCTAGGCTGCAGTAGGATTTTGGTGGGTGAAAATAATGTATACTGGTACTGCTCGGTGCCAACAATAATTTGTATGAAGCTCAGCTTAATATTATAATCATGTAATATTCTGGCTGTGTCTCCATCCGCAATTTAATGTACTGATGTTATTTTTTAACTTCATTTGTGCTTGAAGAAATGAATCACATTCAATATTGTTTACTCTACATTTGTTTGAGTTTTAATATAAATATCCTTTAAAAGATATTGTTGCTATTGCTAATAACTAGTCACCAGTCCCAAAGAAGTATAATTTGCTAGTGTGCTTGTTGCATTGCAACCAACATAGTATTTATAGTCTTTGCAAGTGCACCTCACCAACCTCTGCAACAGCATATCATACAGTTCATTTCAGTGTAGCATGGGAGTGCTAATATATCTTAAAGTTTGTTTGGAGATATTAGTACTCCCATGCTACACTGAAATCCGAATGGAAATAAAGTTATGTATGTATGTATGTATGAATGTATGTATGTATGAATGTATGTATGTATGTATGTATGTATGTATGTATGTATGTATGTATGTGTGTGTGTGTGTGTGTGTGTGTGTGTGTGTATGTGTGTGTGTATGTGTGTATGTGTGTATGTATGTATGTATGTATGTCTGTATGTTTGGCCTGATTGCTGATTAAAGAATGGTTTGTTTTTCTTGACATAAGGTGGCACTCATTGGGTGTGGTCCAGCATCTATCAGCTGTGCTACATTTTTGGCTCGTCTGGGTTACACCAATTTGACTATATTTGAAAAGGAAAATTACATTGGTGGCTTAAGGTAACTGACATTTTCAAAACAGGGTAGTACATGGGTACATAGGCATGTAGTAGCGCAGCGCTGGCGGCTTGAAGTGCCACCAAGCGGAGGTCCATACTCATTTAGGAAAGAAAAGGAAACCCATGAATTGATTCTCTTGTGGTTATTGTGGCTTGCGGTTTTGCATGTTTGGTGTGAAAGATCCTATCCCTGGTGGGCTCCATGTGGGTTTGGTATACAAGTTTTTGTGAGCGGGCTGTAATGCCTGCTATGTCAGAGAAACCACCCGGCATTTTTCCATGCGCGTACATGAGCACATGTTCAGTGATAGGAACTTTCACGTTTTCAAATTAACACTAACAAAATTCTTAGCAATGCTGCACCTCATGCTCCAATGACTGTTTATTATCCTATTTCACGCTTCCACCACCTTCGAGCTTAAGATCAAAGAAGCTATTCATATTCAATGGGACAAACCTACACTAAATCATCAAGTTGATCATGTTAATTCAAAACTTTCTTTGTAATATTTTACATTGTCATGTTTCCTTTCATTCTTATAGTCAATTAGCATTTTGTGTACACTATATATTCAACTCTGTACTTTGTAGTTTAAACTGAAGATGACAGAAGATTCTGTTGAAACATGTTTTTAAAAAACGTTGTGCTGTTTCTCAAAATTTTAATAGAGTTAGTCATTTTTATATATTTTTTATGATGATATTTGTGCAAGTATGCTATATTAAAATTGGTGAATACATGTGTTTACCAAGACAAAGTTGAGGTAACTATTCATGGATGTTTACTGAGCCTGAGGTTAATAAATGTTTTAGTGTAATTTTCAGAGTTGAATACCAAGAACTACAAAATAATGGACTAAAACAAGCTAGGAACTGCAGGCACAAAATTTTTTTTTTGCATACACATAATATGCAGTCGTAGTTTATATGGACATCGAGTTAGGCAGTAAAAGAAACAAGTGAAACACTACAAAAAATAAATTCATCTAGTATCTTTGTTTGATTGTTGTTGACTTCAGTCACAAAATGTACTCATCTTCTAAAAATGAGTTGCTCCAGTTTTAGGAAAAATAAGTTTGAGGCACTCAATCTAACCTGCTGGTGATTGATAAAACCACTTTATTTACAATCCTAGTCCATGGCAGTAGCCAATTTCAGAATTCCCCATGCTTTCAAAGAAATGAAAATTTCATTCAGCAAGTGTTCACCATTTTAGTCTTGGCAAGATGGCAAAGGGGTAGCTTGTAACCAAGCTTAGAAATGTAAAAATAATTCGTTGCCTAGCATGTACAGTCAAAATAGCATTATAGGCTGAGCTTTTTGACCAATCAGAATGTCCAATTTGTATATTCACCTTTGGAAATTGTACTAAAAGAGCTACACAGAAGAAAGCTGATCATTAACTGCGAATTTCCTGTTGGCCACATTCTGTACTTAGCTTTTTTTATTATTTGGGTGTATTTTTTCTCTGATGCCAACAAATGAAATAATAGTTGTTAGTAATAGACCATATTCGTACTCTCAGTATTGAACTGGAACTAGTTTGCAATGGAGGCTCATGTGGGGAATATCATTAAAAAGAAATAAATGTCATTTGCATTTGGAAAGACTCCCTGCATTAGCTTTAGATGCAAGCTAGTTCCACTCCAATACTGGGAATACGAAATTCAATATGGCCTATTAAAAGAGAATGTTCTCAAAGACCTTGTAAAACCCCCAAAAACGTGGCACATGTTTGAACAATGAAAAACCTTCATATTTCCCTCAGAGATACGCTATGACCAGTTAATAAATGTGTTGTGTTTTTTTTGTTCAGATCTGCTTTTTTTCGAGAGAATTTGCAACAACTGTAATGGACACCAACTACCAGAAAATGGCAGAAATTAGTGTGCCGAGTAACAGCACAAGGACTTCATTTCTGAAAACTTCAAAAGGAAGTGACCCTTTATTCAATTTGGGTATTTGCTTAGTGTAAAAATCCCTCATTTTTCCTGAAAGTAAGCTAAGGAGTCTAAAAACTTAGGATAGAGGGCCACTGGTTCGTCAGTTTTTTACTGTTATGTGTTACCCTCTGTAAATAAAGTTGTTACTTACTTACTTACTTACTAAAATCATTGAATTGCTCTGTCCCAATGCACATGGTAACCCTATTAACTTTATCTATAATAAAATTCTTGATTGTGATTGGTTCTTCACGCACATATTTGTCACATAAAATTATTCCACGCTCGATTATGTGGTTGTCCAATTACAGGTCCAAAATACAACTTTTTGCAATTGGATAATTGTACACCATTCACACATCAATTACCCACACTTGATTGGCTTCCTTCTTATTGTTTCCTACAGTTTTTTTTTACGGTTTTTAAAAGGAGTCTTTAAAAGACTCTTTTAGTTTTGAAGATTGTTATAGATATGACTACTTATTAATTGGACCTGGCAGGGCTCAACACAAACTTTTCAACTTACTAGCCAAGTGGGTAGTGACTACTTAGATGTTACTAGCCAAAAACATTTTTTTTACTAGCCATGTGTTGAGGTTGGCTACCTTATTACATGAAATTTCCGTGACACGTTTATTTCGCGGTTTGGTTGTGCACATATTTTGTGACACTTAAATTCATGATTTTGCAAAAATTTGTATTTTGAATCACTTTAACTTTGCGTTTTTGAGTAACGCAAAATTTGTTTCCTTGGCAATGTTACTTAAACATGTCTTTGAATTCAGTAAACTGACTTTATCAAAGGTACAATAACGTCAAAAGTAACAAAAATGCAATGGTGGGACTGTATGTCAACAGTAACATAATGTTTTGTTCCCGACACTTACTTATTTGCGTCACTTTAATTTCACGACTTTTTTTTAAATCGTGAAATTCGCAAAATTAGGTGTTGCGAGAATTTCAGGTAGGTCCAATAACAGCAGAATTACTAGCAAGACTTGAAAGCACAATGCAAGCCACTCTCATTAATACATAATGTTAGTAATTATGCTGTACTTAAACTAGTTTCAAAAAAGTTCCAGTTCCTGAAAAGACTTTCAGGACTCTGTTTTTCTCTGAGACTTCCTTGGAAAAATAGCGAGACCCCCAAGATGTCACTGTAAAAGCTGTCAAGACTTCTTCACAGACAGGCACCATAGAAATGTTTCAAAAGCAAAACAACTATCTGAACAATGCTGTAAACTGTCGTTGGCGAAATTCGACTGCTAAAAACGGCTGATTTAAATGGCGAAGGAAATAAATGTTTCTCATCTAATTATTTCTGTAGTGGTAAGTTTGTAAGTATGTATACAACGACAAATCACCCATATATTGCTACGCTAAATGAAATGTTATCCCGTTACAGTTCCACACTATTTTGCGCATGAAAAAAATTTCGTAACAAAAAAGAGCATTGATTTGCGCTGTCTTGTTTGTCAAATATTTCTTTCAACAAAATTAACATGTTCAGTTTCCTGTTTATGTACCACGGGGCGAAAAGTAGACATACATGCTGAACAGCACATGCCCAGTACCATGATATGTCCACAATGAAATTCTGACATTGTTTGTGCGAAAAGTGTAAATTTTGTGTTTGTCTTCGAAGAAGACAGAAACTAGTTCAGCCAATTTCATTTTGTTGACTAGCCAAAGTGGCTAGTGGAAATCGAAAACCTACCAACCAAAACTAAATTTCTACTAGTCTGTGGCTAGTTGGCTACCATTAGTGTTGAGCCTTGCCTGGTGTCATACAGCTCAATTCAATCATGCCCATAGTTTGCAATTGGCTTCGTGCCTCATCCAGTTTTGAAATTACTTGTGCGCTTACTCCCTCAATTGTATTCCTCTCGGTCCGATTGTGTTGCGGACAAGTGATGTCATGAAAATTTATTTTTACACATTAGAGCCATTTTTCGGACCATATAAACAAACGTTTGACTGTGAGCAGACCCAAACTGCAAATGGCCTCCAAATGGCACAGTACACCTATAAATTCTGCCATGCATTTGGAATTGTCTCAGGGATTATTATTATGTCTTCCTGTTCTATGGTATTCATCAGAGTGGACAGTGCTCGTGTTGACAAATTTGAGAATTTCTGGCAATGAGTGTTCTCTTCAAGACCTGGATAAACAGCTAATAATATTGTTTGTAATACATTGATGAGGGAAGTATTCTGATCAGCTACACCTCTAGTGACAACATGCTGTGCCAAAATTTCTCGACTTCAAATTCCTGAAGACTTTGGGATCTGTCAGATGGTCACTGCAGCTTGGCAAGATCCTCATGCAATTTGTGACATTTAGGCTCTTGTGTTTGCTTGTCAAAAACCTAGGCCAGCAGCCTTTCCTTTTTTGCCTGACTTTCTGGTCTAGAATACTACACACTTGTTTTGAGTCTTATTGTGGGGGGTCTCTGGTGATGTAATTGCTGCGGAGCGAGCGTAGCGAGCGAGCAGCAACATAATCAGGATTTAAGAAGAATATATAGAAGGGGGTACGAATTCTCGAATTCATCACTTTTTACCAGAATGCATTGCAGTTAACCAGACTGCACTGCACCACTTTTACCGGAGTGCATTGTGCCTTGAACAACAAGAGGATGTCATACTCGTCGAGCCGTCGTCCTTTTTCGCGTGGATTCCACTGAGAAAGTTTGCTCTGATTTACCTGTAAAGCGATGTGAAG